AGGCTGCGCTGCTTGCGGGATGCTTTGTACCCACCCCGTCTGTCCCGCCTGCTTGCCGCGACTGTCTCGCTGATGTCAGTGTTGTGCAGAGAAAGCAGAACCAGTTGTTTTGGAGGCGACGTGCGGAATTTAACTATTAATATTTTAAATGCAACTTAATCTTATATCTAGTTGCTAATCAATGCATCAGATTCCTTCTGTAAAGCGTATCTCACTTTATTAAAGAACGCAGGTAGTGAGACAAGCTATGACTTGCCTGCGACCGGAGTAATAGCGTTTTGTCTGCACTGCCATGTTGTTCAGTACGGGGAGCACGAAGGGTTGATTTTACAGAGGATGAAATTAATTTTTTTGCAGAAGTGCCCAAATTATGCCGGATGGAAGCTGATGGAGGACCTTGCAGGAGTCATCTAAAAAGATATGCCTTTAACTTGAGCTCAATGAGGTGTGAAGAGTTCATCTATGGTGGCTGTTATGGAAATGGCAACAACTTCAGAGATTTGCAGTCTTGTGTGGACCACTGTCTGCCAGAGAAAAGTAATGATTGTTCCAAATTTTTAATAAAATAGATGGTTTGAAAGCGACACGAAGATGATATTTTATTTTATATTTTCCTCTGCATACCCATAAAGTGGTATTTTTGAAGACTTCTGGGAAGCAGATATGTATATTTTCTGCAGACTTTAATGTGTCACTTGTCTCAGCTGTTACTGAAAGAGCAAAAATGCTGTGCTGGTTTTAATATTGTGACCTTAAATATGCCCACAGCTACACCCAACCAATCTCTTAACTTATAGAGAGCTGTACATGTATAATCTGAAGGGAAATAAGGTTGGAGATCTGTGTTGAGGCAGATGTATGAGACATTGTGGCAGTCACCTTCAGGGCAGTGATATCCTATTATAAAATGGAAGCGCCTTTCTAAAATTCAGGCCTGAGAGATGGGGTTAGGTGGCTTGGGTTGTTGGCACTCGCCAGCTCAACTTCTGCTAAAAGTTTTTTGTCTGACATGACCCTTCACTGTCTCTCCATATGAGAGAGGTGGTAATTATAAGCAGGTGACTAAAGCTAAGTGTTGTCATAAACACCAGATTAATATCCCGTGCAAGTAGGATCTTTGAAGAAGAGAGATCTACCAGAATGTGCAAAAGCTGTCACTGCTTTATTAGTGCTTGATGAGACAGTTATTTTTGGCTGAAGACAGATTGCCAGTGTTTTCTTAGGTGAACACTGAGTTATTTTTAATTTCTCTGTTGCGCATCCAATAAATTGGTAAAAGGGCTCCAGCAAGAATAGTAAAATTTTGTTAAGGCAAAATGAAACGTGGTTCTTGTGAGGAAAGTGGTGGGTTTTGTACTTTTTGCTGTAAGTGGGCAGGATTTGCTGGCAAAATCATAGCAAGGATAAACAGAATAGTGCCTTTTTCCTCTACAGAGGTAGTTCCACTGGAATCATTGTTATATTCCTGTATATATATGGAATAAGACTTTTGACCAGACTATGTAAATATCTCAGCTGTCGTACATGTGACACCACAAATGGGGAAAGCTGATGAATTTCACTTGTGGGATAGTAATCCTATTTTCTGGGACTGTCTGTTGCTTTCTCAAATTCATAACTCACAGGAGTAAAATGTAGTAAGTCTCTGAAGTCATTGGTAAGAGTCATGTCAGTTCAATGGGAACAAGAGCTGTTTAGCCACAAAATTATTGCAGGGTAAATTTTAAGAAGCCAGGCACAGAGATTACATTTATGTAATTTGTCTTTTTCTCTCTTTTTTTTTTTTCTTTTTTCAAGCTGGTCCCTTGCTATGCTATAGCCCAAAGGATGAAGGATTGTGTTCTTCTTCTGTGCCTCGCTATTACTATGACACCAAGACTAAATCATGTAAGGAGTTCAAATATACCGGCTGTGGTGGAAATGCCAATAACTTCGTTACTGAAGCGGATTGTTACAATGTCTGCAGAAAAGGTAAGATTTTTTTTGTAATTTTTTCAGTTACAAGCACATAAAGCAATCCAAATACTCACCTTGGTTTGTTACAAGGGTATGCTTTTTGAATTTTGGTCTTGGTGTTTTCAAAGGCAGGGAAAACCGAGATGCAACACTAAATCCTTCTGACAAGTGCGATGCAAGGTGGTTACACCATTTTTGAATGAAATGTAGAGTAGAGCACACAAAAAACATTAATTAAGTTACTAGAGCCCACAAAGAATCAGTCTTTAAGCTGATCAGTACCAGCATGAACACTTAATTAAGGTCTCATTTTCTTCCAAGTATTTTAAAGTAGGATTAAAGTTGTGAAATCAATTTACTTTTTTCCTTCACATTTTCAGAAGTTATCAGCCTCTCTTGATTCTCTGCTGCCTGTTCCTGTTTCCCATTCCCATTCCTGAGGATTTCTGCCTCCTCAGTTGTGCTGAGTCAACTGTTTCTGTGGTTGTAGGGGGGGAAGAGCTGAGAATGATAATTGATTTTTCTTAATGGTTTTATTCAAATCAGCTACTGGCTGTGCTTGTAAGTCAAAACAGTTGTGCTTTTACCTGCAGTCCTGTGTTCATACCAGCTACTGCTAGTTTTAATAGTCTACTTTAATTCATTTGATATGTAAATCAGTGAGAGAAAAGCATAATTATATGTTGATCCCCAGAGGACTCAGGAAGCAGACACAGCACAATACTTAAAAAATTGATACTAACAGGAAAAAAAATGAAGGCTATATCTAGCATGTACATTGACTTTGGGGGAAAAAAAAAAGCCAAACAGTAGCTCTGTTTTAAACATGAGATGCACAAGGTCCAAGTACTTCAATATTTAAGATGTGTAGGCAGAAGGCTTAAGTCAGGAGACGATGCTTCAGTTCTGGGCTAGAAATCCAGGGCTGGGGCAAGGATTGCACCCTGAGCACAGTCCTCAGAAGTAAAAATACTGTCTGCCAGTTAGTCATGGCAGTAATATTTCTGTGGGTGACAAATCTCAGTGTGTCTCTGCCATTATAGTATTGTAAGGGAGTCTTTAATAGCATGGTAAGTCTATCTGAGATGCTTGTGATTATCTAATTTGCATCTATTACTACCTGGAAAATGGTTGGGCCAGGCTCCAACCTAAGTGTGCAAAGAGAGAGGAGGAAGGAGACTGCCTCTTCAGCATCTCGCCTCCACGCTTTGCCCCTGCCCACACCCAGCCAGAGCCACCTGGGGGTTCTCCCTTCCTCACTCTTTTCCTGGAAGAAAGAAGCAGGGAAATGCTGTCTCCTAACTAGAGCACCGGATAGCCAGATGTAAAGGATCGATTATAAGCTTTTTCACTAACTTGTGGATTTCACAATTCAATAAAGCTTGGTAGAGCTGAAGCCCATAGTTAAGGGCATAATTAGTGCTAATTAATGTTGTGCTATACATATTTATTTCTATAGCTTGGGAGTGTACAGCACCATTAAGGAAAACTTTTAAGGCAACTTAAGCCACTCCTTCTCTCCTGCTCCCATAATTCCCTCCCCAGCATCTTTCCTGTTACCTTTTGGAGTCTTGACTTGAATTCAGTTGACCTTCCCTGTGCAAATATGCAACTGCTGTTTAAATTGATCTATAGCTTTTGGAGCAAAAAGGTTTCTGATTCATTTCATTAAAAAAGTTTATATTGGAGAAGAAAATAAATATGTTGGGGTGACAGCGAAAAGATTGGGAACTGGCCACAGGGGTTCCTCATGCAGGTAAATATGTAGCATAAAGACAAAAGGTTTTCAGTCAGGTTTGCAAAGTACTTCTTTTCTCAACTGCACGCACACATTTCATGCGGCCTTTGTAAGCATTTCTGGAGATAACCCCGATTGTCTTTGGCCACTCTGCAGCTTGTGTGTGAAACCCAGTTCTATGCAGAAGCCTTAAACATTTTACCTGTTCTTCTCCCACAAGCATTGGTTATATTTTAGACTTTGCCCCAGTGTTGTTCAGAGAAATGTAGTAATGGTTCTTCATGGTTTGGTTTGGGTTATTTTTGGTTTTTTCCCCCCTCCAGATAGAACAGCATGTTTACTTCCATTCTGCTGTCAGTGCAGGACAGCTAGGAAAGACTTTGATGTTTACTCAGGAAAAGAGCAGCAAAGTAGGACTCCAGTGCCAAAGGAGACCTTACAGTGTGTGAGAATAGGGAGTCTGGAACACATTTTACAGTTTCTGATATGTTTGTTATTATTGGATCAACTGCTTGAACAGCATAATATAAAAAAACCCCAAACCCAAACAACAAAGAGTAGTAACAGTTTTTTCATACTGCTTCTGTAACTGCTTCCTTTGTTTTCTTAGCAGGGACTCAGAAACCAAGAATCGACAAGCCAATGAATGTATTCCGCAGAAAAATGATGAGAAAACTGATTAAAAAACCTCAGACGTATAACCCGAAGTCTTAAAGCTGATGTGCACTTGGATGTTTGAAACATCTTTTGATTCCACTTTCTTCTTTTGTAAGATAGTTTTTACACAGTTTTATACACCGACATAGTTCTGTCTTTCAGAACTGCTTTTTATTTCCAATTTACTTTTTATAAAGAACTGCATTTAATAGAAGAAGAATGAACCTGATTTTGGTTCTTCTGCTCTGTTGTCTTTGCAGTAATACTTTGGCAAAGCCAGGTATTTAGATTTCCATGTTTTTATGGGGGAATGTTACGACTGCCTTGGGAGAATATTTCAGCTGTTACAAATAAAGATTTGAAAAATCAATTATATCTTAGTGTAACTAAGGAGAGTACAAAACTAAATCTCTACCATGGATTTTTTTGGGCGTCCTCTGCTTGCTAAAGAAAAGGAACCTTTCAAAAGTGTGTTGAGAGGTTTATTACCCTGCCATTTTACATACTTTTGCACTGTCATTTAAGTACACTGTCTTTTACAGTTATGTTCATAGTCAGTGCTTTCAGAAGCCTTCATAACAGTAACAGAAGTATAAACTTAAATAAACTTATAAACTTACATCCCACAAGAGAAAATTTGGAACAGGGATACTTTGATAAACATTCTGACAAAGGCAATGAATAAGCTACTTGAGTATTAAAATGAAAATGTAGCCATTACTTTTTCATGACATTTGAGATTTCTGCAAAGTTACGCTCCAGATCCTTGTGTAGCATAAATCAGCATATTTTTATTGATTTTAATGGAGCTACACTGATTACGTCTGCTGAGGATCTTGATACTTGTGTTTATGCGGTGGCTGTTAAAGCAGAAAAGCAGAATCTTCTGCAAATCTCATATAATCCTTCTTTTGAGGCACTATTGTATTTCTTATGGTAGATTATGCCTGTGGTGATATTATTGCACCTTCTTTCACATTTTGTATTTGAGCCATGTCTGAATTTCAATTCATTTCACCTACAATATTTTCTACGTATGAATTCATAAGTAATGTTAATAAAATGTTTGGGAAAAAAAGGAGAGCTTGTTCTGTCATATGCTTCTGTTAATTATATTAAATTAGTTGTATATACCAATATGTGTAATGGAACCTGTTATTTACTAATTATGACTCTAGAAGAGTTTAGTTGTCTCTTAAATCATTTCCTTACGCTGAGGTCTGTCTTTCAAGAAAGCCAGTAAATTGCATTGATGTCATTTATCCCCAGCAGTTTTTATGGCTCAGCTGGCTCTCTCTAAAGAGCTGCTCTCAAGATGCTTAGTTAAGTTGATGGTCTCCTGTTTGATGTTCCACAATCTGAAGAGCTTTTGTGTGGGTAGTGGGCTATTTGCTTGAAATGACATTGACTTTCAGTTCGAAAATTTCAGGTGTTTGCTTTATCCCCATGTCGGAGAGGGAACATGATGGGAAAACTAGTCAAGATTTGGTTTTCTTACTGATTTTTCTCTCACTGCTGGATTTTCAATTAAAGCAGTCGGCTGTGCTTGCCATAGTCTTTCTACCACGCCATTTCTGGTTCTTGATCTCGCAAAACCTTATTTCAATTAATCTGTCACTTAGTGCAGATGAATGGGCACATTCTGTGACAGAAAATTGCAGGAAACTAGTGGCACGGTTCTGAGTGTTTGTCCCATACCAAACCTCTTCTCTGGTAACTAGCCTTTGAACAGACGTGGGCCCAGTCTAACCTCCCTGGGGGAGACAGGGCATGCTACCCATGGACACTGCCTGTGTCCCTTCCCTTGGGCTGCGAATTTTGGCAGTGCTGCTTAGAGCAGCAACCCAGAGTGTCCCTCTGAATATTTTTTTCATACCTTGCACTAGCATTTGGGGCACACCAGCTGCATTTGTTGCAGATTTCTGACTATGGCTTAAAAAACCCACAAGCCCGTTTCAGAAGTCAAAGTTCAATTTAAACACTGTTTTTAACTGTAGAGGATGGCCATCTTTTAACAGCATCGCTGTGGGGCATAATCTCTGGTAACATGTTTGGGAAATGGACTATCGCTCCTTACCTCTCTGTGTCTTTGACTTTCATAGGAGTATTTTGGGGTGAGATACACAAGTGGACCTGGGATTTAAAGGGAGCCCAAAATCTGAGAGCAGCTCCCTCTCACTTTACTTTTTGATCTTGGAATTGGGTGCCTGGTCACACATCATGACATATCCTGGGCAATGCGATACCTAGATAGTGTCCTGGAAGGGATCCAAGAGTTTGATAATCTGCCCATGCCTCCTCAGGGACTCAGAGCTTTCTTGAGGGACCGGGCTCCCCCCAGGACACAGGAGTGGTGACCACTGCAGCCCTTTGTCATGTGGCTGCTCCACATGCTCTTTCTTTTCTTGCATAAAAACATAATTCGAAGTCCAAGGGTTTACTGCTAGGGTACTCGATGAAATATCAGAGGCTTGAGTTTTAATCCCTTATCTACCTGATACCACACAGAGATTTAACCTAAACCATCCATAATTCTTGCAGGGTTTCCTAGTGAGCAGGCTGTAGAGTATTCGGGAGGGCAGTGGGGGGAGAGAGGGGGGAGAAGAGGAAGGGGAGAGGCCATGGAAGTTTCTTTCAGTCCCTTAGTGAAGCTATTCCACTTTGTATAAATTGTACCTCCTTTCCAGGTAAATGCCTTAATATCCTTTTTTTTTTAGCTACAAAGAATTTCAGTGGCCACTGTGCTGCTTTGCTTCATGTTCTTACATTACTCTAATATCCCTCCAGACTCCTGTGGCTTTGACTAATCTAAATAATTCTCTATCATCTACAGCATTTTACATGACTCATGACTTACTTCCTTTTTCAGGAAGGTTGGGTCAACTGTTAGCGTTTTGCCACGTTGAAAATTAATGCAGCCCATGCCATCCTGCAAATTAACTTTTATTATAGTAGCCAGTGTCCAGCAGCTGGTATTATGTGTCACAGAACCAATTTCTACTGCAGAGGAGGGAAGCAGTGATTATAATCGGTTGGGTTCATCTTGTCTTGCATAGGCAAACTGCCCCTTGAACTCATGAGTAGTGATTTGCACGGGACAGTCATACCTGCTGCTGAACAGTGGTTGCTGAAATAAGCAGATTTGACTAAACTCCAGTGCAAATAACATCACTGCTCTTTAACTTTCCATTGCAACCCATAATTCCAGTTCTTTTCTTAGTGGCATCTTGTGAAGAACTGTATAAAAGACTATAAAAATGAAAATCTGCACTGATTATTCATCTTTAGTCTGTGACAACACTCAGGGAATTGCTTTGTAAAAGTATTTCAAGAGTTGGAGAATGGCTTCATCTTTATATCTGAGTGGAATTTTAATTATCAAAAAGAGAAGAGAAAAAAATCCATGTGGAAACATGAAATTTTTTTTTACTGATAATCTAAATGATTGTAAGCAAACTTTCACCACACCTATTTTAGCAGTGATTGGCCCCAATAAAAGACTTTCTCACAATTCCATATTTTAGGAGCAAAACGGCGATAAGTTCAGCTTGTATCCCTGGAGTCAGATTTCTGACTGCCAGGAGTGTCCCTGATCCTTTATTGATTCTTTTCATCTGAGGAGGTGGAAAACATGCAATATTTATTTAAAAAAAAATAAAAAAATTATTAGACACAATGGGCCACATTTAAAAAAAAAAAAAAATTCACTGAAGCCGTGTCTCAGCTCACAGGTGAAAGATGGAGTCCCCAAGCTTGAAGTCAGCTGTACTGCTGAGGGCACAGTTCTGGATCCAGGCAGTGACAAGAAATCTGTTGTGCTGGGTAAACGCAGTCCAGCTGTGGTGATGTAAATCTGGAAGAACCACACAGTGGATATGCCAGAATTATTATGCATTTACATTAGTGTTATTGAAAGCAAAATCTGCCTCATTATCTTTCTAGAAAGCTTTTTTTTATTATTATGCATAACTATCACTGGTGATAGTTAGTTCAGAGATACTTGCTTCTGTTGAAGTGAGCCTAATTTTTCAGTGTATGGTGGTCCTGTACAGTAATGTCTATCATCTGATAAATTACTTAATTGCCAAGGATGAGGGGTGTTAATCATAGTATATAAAGCCTAATGACCAGCAATGATATTAAAAAAAAATCTATGTAAACGATATGCATAAAAGCATGCTGTTTGAGGTATTAGCAACTGATGGGATCATGAGCTGTGATTTCCAAATAAATGTCAGAGAAACAAGCATTCCCAGCTCATGTCTGAACTATTCATAGCAGAGAAATAGTTCAGGCAAGTTAAATACTAATTTAGGAAATGTAAAACATTGTATCTATTATGTGGGAATAAACCAAGCCCCTTTCAATGGCAGTTCCCTTTGTACTGGCAGCACTGACCATAATTTCAGATGAATATGGACAGAACGGACGCTCCTTCCAGC